TTATATACTTCTTACTCAGAGGAAAAGTCCCTGTGTATATATTCAGGGCTATTTCACTGATGACATCGTATTGTTCACTAGTCAAAGATTTAATAATCATTCTCTGTTGAGTAGTGTTTGCACTTAGCATAAAAGAAAGAAATGCTCTCTGCTTCCGTATTCTTCGATTCATATTGGTATACTGAATAAATTACAATGGATAACATGTTTTTATAGAGGTTGATAAATAACCATGTCCTCTCCAGGCAAAATGCGGGATCGCAGTTGGTATTTTTTGTTTTGGGTAGGTTCTAAACACACATGCAAATAGCCAAAATTTGGACTTGTTGCTGCTTCGTATGCTGTTTTGAAAAACGGTACATATCCTGGTAATATTTGTGATCCGAAGGTGATGATCTGGCGGGAATCACGGTAATTCCTGAATAAAATCACATTAAGACAGTTCAGAGATATGGTCCTGGCATATTTACCAGGAGGGTACAAGTTTTGAGAGAGCATACACTACTGGCTTTCAAAACCCCTGTCCGTATGAAAATCCCCTGTCTTTCTCTGTAACCTACAGCATTTCCACAATTATCTACAGTATATCTACAGTATGGTACGGTATGCCTACTCTGTACATACAGTAATTCTCAGTATGCCACTGTATGTATCCCCAGCATGCCACAGTTACCTACAGTAGGCCCCAGTACGCCTACAGTAGGCCCCTGTATGGCTACTGCTATCTACAGTAGCCTACGGTATGCCACAGTATACGCCCCAGTAGGCCCCTGTATTGTTCACCGAAGCAAAACGGTAGAAGTACACAATGATTTAAAAGGCAAATTCTTTACAGTTGAAGCTATACATCGGTTAAAATTATTAACGAAGAAGAATTAATGATTTATAGAATGATTTTTGTACATTACATCTCTAAATTAATGTTATACTTGTTATGTTTTAACAAATAATAATATATAGATTTATATCTGATGGGGTTGATTACGGTCAGTTTATTAGAAGTGATGATAATTAATCACTAGTATTACAAACAAAAAAAACCCCTGTTCTGTTGTAAGTGCCGGTAAAATTAATTCTTTGTTGATTTAAATACAGAATAATTCATCAACTCATCAACAAAGTCAGACCGCTTTAACACATTGAATGTATATTTTTAAACTTTCTATTAAAAAAAAGGAGAACTAGTTTGTATTAAATCCATATGGTTTTCAATCCGATAAAATGAACATGTTTTGAAAGAAGTAAACTTTTTTTTTTTTTTTTTATCTAGGAACGTAACAATTCCCGATAAATTATTGTTAAAAATGACAGTGGATAATGAACTAAAGGACGTGATAACAAATTATTCTTATTGAAGCTCACTTGATAAATTTTAATTTCAATTCGTATTCAGATAGTATTTAATTATTATCTATTTATGAAATGTAAATTAAATTCCCGTACATTAAATAATTTATTATTAGCAGAACTGGAGAGAAATTATTCTTTTCTTCTTTTCTTGTAACGTTAAGACGGTCCAGAAATCATTTGAATGTTATTTTCCATTCTATTGTGTGTCGCATTTTTGACGAATCCTAATCTGCGTTTTGATTTACGCAATATCCTGTAACAAATCAATAAAGTTTCGATTGTGAAATCGATAATTGATTTTTTTATAGGCAACATTAATAAATATTCCAAACTACTGAAAGCTTATACTGTGAATAAAATTGGAGTATTGTATATGGCTATTAAGTTTATAAGCCCCCCCCCCCCACACACACACACACACATGCACACATTGTCTCCGCTATTTAAAACCAAGACCGTATTATCAATATTAATAATAAATCCATGAAGTGATAAGAACACTAGTTTGTTGCACAAAAACGGCGACAAAACATGGCCTTTTTACTTCTCCGATTGCGTGATCAAAAAATTCATTAGTATGCTGGTATGGTTCTAATGGGGATACAGATTTTTTTTATGAAATTATTTCATAATTTAATAATTATTTCATTTACTCTATCAATTAATTTCATTTTCAGACCTACTTATGATTAAAAATCATTGATCCGCCCCCGCGCGTTTCTTTTATCAACTGCATTGTAAGCAGTGAGACAGAACCTAGGTAGGTTCTTGTATATATCTAATGTTATTTGCAATGGTCAGCTTAACAATAGGTCCTAATTGCCTATTGTTCTATGGCTGCGTCTGACCACCAGTGTTACGACTAAATAAACAACTGACTGATCACTCAGATCACATTCACTATGAACTACATGTATCAGTTTAAATTATAGTATAGATCTGCTTAAATAATTGAATTTTAAAAAAATGTCAAATAAAAAAGAAATGATTTTCTGTGAAATTCTCACTGATGCACAATATACTTAAAATTCTAAGTGTTGATTTGTACATTATACTAATAATTTCAACAGTCGATGTTGTTTCCTAAGCGTTCTTAAGGGGGTGAAACGCATGTATTAAACATACTTAGTACGTTTTGGTTTTTAAAACTTCTTAATAATGCCATAAGGCGAAAATATAATTTTTGCAATGTAAAATGCATTAAAAAGCAGGCATGAATGCCTGTAATCCTTTTATTCAGGAGTACATTGGAATAAAAAGTCAGTAAAATAAATCAACGAGTCCGGAGAGAGAGAGAGAGAGAGAGAAACATAAATTCAATATAGATTATGCTAATAAAAATGGAGAAGAAGTTATTTCAAACAAATGTCAGCGTTAACAGTTGAGAAATAAGGGGAAAAAATGTCTTTACATGAACCTAAATCTTCTCTCAGTTTTATATCAGAATCTACAGATCTAAAATTTAACTATATATGCTTATATGCAGTTTGTATCGTATTCTAATTGATGTGAAAAAATTCGACATTTGAAACACCTGAATGTATCTGTCAAACATTTGAAGAAAAAAAGATTATTCAATATTAAGTCTTAATTCAATTTAATTCCTGAAATTTGGGTCGTATCATTTATTTAAAAAAAAATGATTATAAACTGTTTCGTTTCAAACTCATTCTTTTCTGTTTAAACCTCAGGAACATAGTCACAAGACAGCACACAGAAGTATGCATGACTAATTTTTTTTTTCTTACACAATTCAGAGTGTCAAAAGAAAGACGGAAATTTGACTTTTTAAAGCCTAATCTCCCATTTCCACACCCTCAAAATGATGCTACATTTCGCCAGTCGGTGTTAGAAAGAATGTTTACTATGGTCTAGTCTGCATTACATAAATTAGCAACATTTATAAACTCTGTTAATCATACAAATGATTCCTATGTAGCTGAAACGCATACGAGGTTCGAATTTATTATATATGTACATGTGAGACTAAATGTACCTTGTAATCAAATTTTAAAGGCATGGCGTTACATGGAAAGTGTGTCCTCTCAATACTTATTTTTTACTTATTCTCTTTTATGAATTTGTACCGGGCTCATTATCAGATTAATGGTCAAGTTCAAGTTCAGTTCAGTTTATTCACCAAACCACCCGGTATACAAATTGGCGGAACGAACTATCATTTTACATCTATTTATAATACTTTTTTTTTTTGAGAAATCAAACACCGAAGAAAGTTTTTTATATGCAATGATAACCATCTTATTCCATTATAAATACCAAGGCACTGCAAATTCATTTTTCTTAAGTAATTCCAGGGAGGCCAAAACTTACTCCCCCCCCCTCCCCCCCCCCCATTTACACTCGCGCATGAAACAGACTTGGTACACCTATTTGAATCTTTGAACATTGTGAGCGATTATGAATTACATTTCTCCCGACATAGACTGGACCGAAGAATATAAGTTTATATTGTTTGTAAATACATGTAATTAAAAGTATTTAATCTGAACTACATGAGAGTAATTTCAAAATCATCAAACATTTAAAATTAATAATATAATTGTTCATCTTAATTTAGAGTGGGTTATCAATTTTCCCACACCAAGCTGAGCGAGGTCAAAGTCTATGACAGTATTCTTTGATCTATAATTAAGGACAAACGGATTGAAATTAAAGGTCCCTGGCAAAATTGAATTATCTATTGAATTCATTGAAATAATCAGTGAAAATAAGAATGAAATTGTGTTATACATATAAAAGAATTTATTATAATTCATAACATTGAATGAAATCTTTTAACGTTTACGCTGCTTCTCGGGGGGTTAAATAATATTATATTTCCCTGTATACTTACATCTACTATTCAAGAACGCCAAAATATACGGAGTGTTTGCATTCGTTGTTTGACAAATGATAAGAAATGCAACGATACTTGGGAAAGGACTCCCCATGCCCACCAATATCTGTTAATGTCATGTCCATATGATACATGTATATTTACCCTTCATCTAACATTACATACGGAGACTATTGTAATATTCTAAATCTTCAGTCTAAAATGTTTGCTTTACAAACTCCTTGCTCTTTACTGTGTTATATAAATGCATTCGTATTGACAGCTAGCACTTCAAACGGTAAACATGGCTATAAAGAAACAAAAGTTCTTCAGTCTAGTTACCTTTTATGATTTTTGTACTGATTTACTGCAAAGAGAATGGAAACACAACTTCTAAATTACAATTTACTTGCGACGAACAAATATGAAAATAAACAAAATTTTGGTAAACATGTATTTTATTCGATTAGCCATGCATTCACTCAAATGTTTATCATCCTGAAAGAAAAAAAACAATGATTTGCAAATTCAAAGAATACAGTTAGTGTTGCGACCATGATTGATAATGTTTCTTTTCTACTATGGTGGTTAAATAAAATGTACAAAATCAAATCAGTTTATTTGACATCACTGAAAACGTGCAATTTGTAAAAAAAAAATATGGCAGATATGCATTGAAAAGTGAACAACAGAAGCAGGATTCTATTTTCAAATTCCTAGTATATACATATATACTCTTCTCCGATAATTAAAAATAATCCCTCCCTCCCCCCCCCCCCCAAAAAAAATCAAATTTTCACATAACCCTTTATTACTTTAAACATGCCAAAATAATTTTTAGGTCTTAATTTCTTGAAATTGGTTAACATGTTGAATATATTTTTAACATAGCTACATTATTGTGTTTCATAATATGCACATCAAAACCAGTGACACAAGATAAGAAATTAATTTTAACTACAGATTTTCCATTAATTTAAAATAATGGAGAACTCTGGTCAAGTCACAACAAAGTATTCCTGTTACACTATTACATCAATTGTTACAGCAAATCAGATCCATTTGAATCATCACTGTCACCATCCAGATCACCGAAGACCGAGAATCCAAATCGTATTCTGTTTTTTACTATGAACGAGTGGCTTGCTAAGTCTGCTTACATGAAAAAGCTGCCGTCTAACTGGATTGTCTTCCAAAAGATATAACGAACCGCATTTCTCAGCCAGAGGGAACACATCAACAATTGTCCAATGATGAATACTTCCATCAACTACATGCTCTAAGAAAAAGCAAATGCGCCCAAACAGATCGCCATTTACACTATGCAGCTTTACGATAGACCGTGGCTTACTCCCTCTGTATTTGTCACCGACATATCGGACGCTCCTACCACTGTCATCTGTAATATCGAGCGTTCCATGGTGTTCAGTCACAGTGTCTGTAAACATTATAGCACTAATCTTCAAGTCCATTAGATAGAAGTTCTGCATGTGGTGTCTCATTTCCTTCGTCAGCAGACTTCTAGCATTCTTCGTTGGTTGTTGGTTGTTTGGTGCAGAACCTGACTCGTTGCTCATCTCCTCCATTACCTGTTGGCTTATCTTCACCAAGGACTTCTCACCACCAAACACATCACTGGGATTGAACTTCTGACTCAAAATCATGTAAATACACCAGTCATATATCTAAAAAAAAAATAAATTGAAAACTATAAAATAATGTATTTAAATTAATAAAATAAGTTCATATATTTCAGCAATCTATGAAGAAAATTGTTTTACTATTGTTATTTATTTTTTTTAAAATAAGAGGTGCATATCAGTAAAACAGTCTACCAGTTCATATCCTTCTATTTAACCATGTTTGAGATCAACATAATTGATTCAGAAATTGTATCTAAAGTTAGTGCCACTTACTACGTATGTTTCCATAACAGTAGATTCCTCCATCCCTTTCTTTAAACATTGCCTTGTGATCCAGCCAATTGCCCTTTCATACGGGAACAGCCATCTCCCATACATGGGGCCAAGTTTGGCCAAGTCATCCACAATATGATGAATTAAATGGGTTGTGAGATTCTAAAAAGAATTAAACCAAGCATATATTGAAAAACTAAACCAAATAATTTGAAATAATAAAAAACAACCTTATCTCAGTTTCAAACTTGGAGAAGGCTATTTAAAATAATTTTATATAATTATCTATCAACTGACAACAAGACTGTAAATTGTTATAAAACATGGCCAGAAAGTCTACATACACATGCTTGTATTTTTTTTTTTTTTTACATTTCCAAAAAATCTATTGATATAATCATGATAATACTTATTTTTTTATTGCATTTTACCTGCATTGTAAGTGGAAAGTCTCTTTCCAGCATAGCAAGGGCTTCATGTGTATCAGCTTGGAGTTGAGGTAGTTCAGATATGGTGAGTTCAGGTGCAATCATTCGTTTAATAACATCACAGATAGCCTGTAGAGTCTTCTCTTGGGCTGGAGGGAGGAATCCCTGAATACACCACTCAAATGCCCCTGATGTCACAAACTGAAAATGAATACAATGCACATGTATTCCTACTATGAAATTGAAATTATTGTTCAGATACATATGTTTAATGATAAAGGAGTTCTTTGTCAACTTAACCTAGCTGTATTTGAGTCGCTTAATAAGATAAACATGCGATCATCTCAGCCCTTTAGCATGTACAAATAGAGGATAATAGGCAGTTTTACTTTTTATCTTTATAGCATAATGTGCTTAAACATGTATTCTAAGAAATGGGTACATAATTTCATGCATCGAAGTCATTGTTTTTTTGTTGTTGTTGTTTTTGTTTGTTTGTTTTTTTTTTTAAAATAACTTTCAAAAAGGACTATATCAGTACTTAGGTAATACATTGAATTCATACAAGTCTCTGAGCTACTCTTCTTTTTTTAAATTTGATAATATTTAATCATCATAACATCTAAATTTTACATTTTATTTCTCCATTTGTAGTCAGTTCAAGCATCAACAATTGATTTGGCCAAGATGAATTAATTTTACATTTTTTGGCAACTGATAAATAAACTAGGCAACAGTAATTTTTGTTCATCAACAGTTCATAATCTGAGAACATTTTTCCTGGCAATGAATGGCTGTTCCTATATGTTAAAATTTAATTAGACAATTAAGCTCGAAATTTAAATTTTTATATAATATAATGTCCTTTGAGTCCCAAAATATATGGTGTATTGAAGCTCTAGCTGTGTCAAAATCTTACTATATATATAAGCAAACTTCCATGACAGTTTGTTTGTACCAAACCAACCTAGATCTGCAGTAGGTGCATTACCATTCCATATAATACACAGCAGCTTAGTAGTTTGTAATTAATACATGTTTTTTGCAAATGCCATATTCCTGATGTTACTATGGCCGTATCAGCTTCCAGGGCTGATAAGAATTCTGCAGGGTTTATATGGATCTGCAGGGCTGATACGGATTTATGTCACACCCCTAGTAGATTAAACCTTAAAAACAGTACTTCTGATAATACACCTATTTCTTTTTCGCAATCTGTTAAGTTTAAATTATTGTTATTTGATATAATATGCTACAAGTCAGTAGTCAGTGCATGATTATTTATTTGAATTTTTATCAAGTTGATGTGTGCTGAATTTTATTACAGTACTAATTAAGTGTATTATTAAGTATTATTTATTATTTAAGTATTATTATTAAGCAATAAACATTATAACAAAAAGCATCCTTTTCAAAATCACATCCTGTATCAACCCTCGACCATTAATAGCCCTCGGGCCTTCAGCCCTCTGGCTGATATTGGTGTCTCGGGCTGATACAGGATGTGATATGGAAAAGGGAAAAATGTTTTATTCTCTATGTAGTGCATGGGTACATGCTGATCAATTTATGCAGCTACAATGATGTCAGGTTTATATATGTTTTACATGTATAGAGCTTAATCGACCCTTTTGAGTACAGGGTCCTGTATCTTCAATTGGGAATTTTAATCAAAAAAGTGGTAAAATTTTGAAATATCAAATGTGTTTTAATTAGTTTTACTGTTGAATTCAGAGATACTTTAAAGCTAATTCCCTATTCACATGTTTATGAATCGTAAAAATCTCAAAATTTATGTTTCTCTTAATGTAAAAAGCACTGAAAAATTCAATTTGTACATGTCATTTGGGAATATTTTATACTGATATACATTTTGGGAAAAATGAGCAAATTTTCAATTGGGATAGGGTCCTAGCTTTTACAGAATAGAATTTATGAATGTTTATTCAACCAATGTGGGCCCACAGTGGAGCATAAAGATGAACAATGTCTGAAATCATTATAGTTATATATAAATAACAATATAAACAGAACAAAACAAACAATATAATGGACAGGGAATTAGCTGTCAACTTTTAGGATGCATAAAATGTATACAAATAGTATATGTATAGTGACTGTAATATGCCTATAATGTACAGTTGTTTTCTCATATTAGAATTCGCATTTAAATGTTGACATAATAAAACAACAAACCCAGAATCTTCATATTTAAAGATCTGGATGCAAAGGTTATTAAGCCCCATTATTTAAAAAAAAATGTATTTTTTACTACGTACATATATGTAATAAAATAAATAAAATAAGTATACCAATATATATAACCAGCCTAAATTTTGAAAAATAAAAAAGGAATTTTCATCATCATGATCATTGGATCAAAACTTGCTATTGTAAACTATGTGAAAAAAAATTCTTATATATTGTTTCTTTTTTTCTTCAGAGTCTTATCACCAAATCCATTGACAAGTATAATTTGAAATCTTCAAAAGACTCTCATCTCCAAACAGCAGTGAAGGAAGTGGTGACAATCATCAGAGCTGGAACTCATTCTCTCGACACTGGTGATGAGGAGAAGAAAGTAAAGAACAGAATTTTGAGGGCCTTAGAGTGGAGGCGATACTACTCAAGAAAGAGGCAACTCAGTTAAAAATTAGGCCAAGTAAAAAAATATGTGTGGTTCCGGTTACCCGACCTTCCCTATTTTATACCCCCGACCCTAAACTTTTTTTTGGCAATTTTCATATTTTTTCCAGAATTTCCCCCGATTTCCATCAATGGATCCAGTTTAAGTTTTAGTTTCAGCAATGACGGCCTCCTTGCAAAACATAGTGCAAGTGTTTAGTAGTGTTAAATCCAAAGCAAGCTAGCATGTAGGTGTCCCCTACCAATATTGACGAGTATATTATCACTCCACATCTAAATGCCATTTGCAAAGCAGTGATAGGTATTATATAGAAAAAATTAAGAAAATCATTTTGTTAAAAAAAAAACAAAACAAACAAACCCTACCTACCTACCCTAATTTTTTTGGAAGTGTAAGCAGAACCACACATATTTTTTTGTTTGGCCTTAGTAAAATACGTAAGTCCTAATTTAGTAGTGTCTTGTTAACATTGGTTAAGTTTATTTGATTGCAAACATTTTTTTGTTGTTGAATTAGCTCCCCTAGAAGTTAACTGAGTAAAACATAAGATATTTCACAATAACTTCCCCAAACATATTGATATTTGTTGCCTAAAATGCATAAATGATACAAGTCCACTGACTGACTTCCCACAGTGACATGAACAATTGCCATTGATTGACACTCTCAATCATGCTCAATAATATCTCTTCTAAAAAGGTCAGAATTTAAAATAGTTGCCTCTTGATTTAGTGTGTATATTTAACATTTTTAATCATCATGTGCACTTTGCATGAAAAAAAAAATCATGATAATAATTTTAAGTAAGAAGTTTTAATCCTTTTTTCTGTAATATTCTTTGTTTTAAATTAAAGCTACTAAAAGATGAAACATTTTGGGTGAATAAAACAATATAAATCGATTTCCTAGTGTGCATGACATCCTCCAAATTTGCATGTATCTGGTATTACATGGATATTTTGAAAAGAAAAGTGCCTTGTTAAACATATTGTGAAGTTTATTTATAAAGAGCAGTTTTGGATACCTAATTTTGGTGTGCATGCTTATAAACATATTGCTTAGTTTTGCTACTTTACCTTTTTCTATCTGCATTCAGAATGATTTTTTCCATAATTGAAAACAAATGCTATCATTGTATTCCTAATAATTCACTATTTTAAATATACAGAGCTCCAGACATATATGTAAAAAAAAAAATCTGTCTTCTTTTTCAGAACACATGCATCAAGTCTTGGTGTGAAAGTTAGCAAACTTATAAGGAAGAACCATGCAGGACCTGATCAGGCTGAAGGAGATAAAGAGAATCTGATTCCACAAGATCTACATGATGTGTAAGTATAAATTAATTTACCACATGATTACATCAATTAATTAAACGTACATCCTGTTAAAATAATAACAAAAAATTAAGCAAGATGATATTGCTACCAGTTTGTGTGTATATATGGTTTATATATATGAATATATGCATAAACTTATGTACCAGTTTCTAAAATCAGACTTTATTGTTACAGAGGGCATGATAACAGAGGATTCAATGCCGAGTCCCAGGAAGGCAGCTCAAGTGAAAGTGATATTCCTCTGGCTGCACTGGCTCAGAGAAAGGACTTGAAGAAGCCATGATCCAGCTAGAAATCTCCTTGTGCAAAGGTTACATAAATTGCTGAAGATTTCACTGACATACATGCCAACTTTTGAAAATTCCCATGGGGGATTTTGCGCGTGACGACAATTTTCAAAGCTTTAAATTTGCGACATTTTGTCGTGAAAATAAATGTTTATCCCATTTCTTTTTATTTATAATATCAATATCACTTGTTAATACAATTTAAGCATAAATAATACAAACAAATTTTTTCCTTCCAAAATTCAAATATCTTTTTAGTTTAACAACATTATGTTTGAAAAAGACACATAATTTGGTGAAAATGTACAACTTTCAGTTCAATAAATTTTTTTGCAAAGTTTTAGAAATATATGAGGTTTTGTTACTGTACAGTTTCTGGGAAACATTTGTAAAATTCTATATTTACATTTTACACAATTAGAATTTCCTAATTAGACATTAAATTGAAAGAAATATTGAAAAATTGCAATGCATTGTGTGTGTGAGTGAGTGTGTGTGTGAGACAGAGAGAGAGAGAGAGAGATAAGAAAATTTGTTTGTGGTATGTACTTTAAATAGAAGTGTCATTTTATTCCCTATTAATAAGTATACATCATGATGATTAATTTTATCACAAACACAAAAAAATTTGAAGAAATGAATGTACCCTTGAGATCATCAATTATTTAAAACAAGGATACCCCCTATCCCAAACAAAAATTGAAATTGTTATAATCATAACTTTTGCATAATCTTGGCAGTGTCGTGTGGGTATTCCCTTGTCATATTACATTGGGGGGGGGGGGGGGGATTCAGTGTACTTGAGTTATAAGACTTTTTTGTTTCATCTAAATTATTTTATCTTATTTTAACCGGTAGACTTTACAATATTTTTATTACAAGCAGATAAAATCAGCAGCTATGCTTTGTTGTTTTCTACTTTCGTTTTTAAAAAACGATCAACAAGGATTAATTCCGAATTTGTTGATAGTTTATCATATAACTATATTTAATTTTTGTTTTTAATAAAATGATATTTAATTAACCCCTAAATCTATGTGTTTCACTATGCATACCCTTTCTGACTGAGAAGTTTAATCCCCTAACTGCTCCAGGCTATGTTACCTGTACCTGGACAGCTGTGTGCGTTCAAGCGAGAAGTGATTTCCTGTGGCTAATTAACACCTCTGCATGAGTTAAATAAACAAAGAGACTAATCTGTGTGCATTGAATAAACAAGTCTGATATTCTAATCCCGATTGACAAACTTTTGCGGTAGGGAAACTCTGAAAATCGGAAATTTTAAGTTGAATTTTTGTCAAATCGGGATTTTAGGGCAATTTTGCTTTCCCGATTGGGAGAGCGGGATCAAAGGGTAAAATCGGGAGGATCCCGCCTAAATCGGGAAAGTTGGCATGTATGCACTGACTTAGTTTAAGGATTCCTTTTTATGTATGACAGGATGTGCATTTATTTAGTCATACAAGTCAAGTTACCAGTGACTGTAATCTGTAATGTAACATTATGACTGCTCATGTGTATATACACTTTTAAACTTATATTATAAATGAATTTGATTTGGTAGCCACATGAATGGATCATATTAGTGTTCAATAATAAAAGAATAATAAATTATTGTCTTCTATCAAATGACTTTCATTTTACTTCTCCTGAACCAGATGTAAAATAACATATCAGGTAAATGTACTTTGCATGGCCATGATCATGATGATGACACATAATTTAAGTTGATGAAATTGCAAGAAATAATTATACCTCTGAAATGATTCCTTGCTTAGAACATTAAAATAATACCCTAATAATGATTTCAAAAATATAAAAAAAAAAACGTTGACAATTACTACGTAACGTTATGGGTAATGGAAGATGAATTACTAGATAATCTAGTAGATTACAGCCTCGATGTGCATAACATCTCGACTGACTGAGTGATGAAAAAAGTAATGAAGCCCCGTAAACATGGTACACTCATGACAATTACCTAAGTAATACACACACTACAGCTTGTACTTACTATAATATATACATCCCAGAGTGAGTGAAGAATAATGCGTCCACGTGTAATTCATGATTTCATCATCCAAGGTTCCCCTTGTGATTTTTTTTCTCCTCCAACTTTTGAAGAGTTCTTCCAAAATACGGATCTCGATCCCGTAACATTATTATAGACTGGCTTGCCTGTATGATATGCGCGATATACAACGATAGAGACAGGCAATACCAGTCTAACATTATTATGGCTAACAACACATTCTTATAATGTGCTTTTGTGCTAATAAAGAATTGAATTGAATTAAAACATGTTTTGATGTATTCATACTATATTTTAAAAAAATGTCTTTTATATAATCAACCCCTTCGGTATTTTTTTATGAAAACATTTTTCTTACTTACTCAGCTTGTCCTCTTGGTCAACACATTTATTTCTGGTGAATTTTTCATGTTCCCTTCCAAACGTATATTTTATAGGGGAAGAGCTTTTTGTCTGCCAAATATTGTTGTTCTAAGTAAACGTGTTTTAATTATATATAATTGACTTTTGAATTTTCCATTGTGTAAGAAAAAAAGGTCAGACAGAAATTTCCATTAACAAAATTCATAGGCCTTGGACATGTGTTGGAAGCAAATTGAAAGTGGGGTGTCTAATTGAAAGTGGGGGGGGGGGGCTAAACCAACGAAAAAAGGTAAGCCCCAATTTTCAATGCCTATATTATGTCTATCTTTGCAAAAAAGGGGGGTTGGGGGCTAAGCCCCCCCTCCCCCCCGGTTCCGACGCCTATGAAATTGATGTCACATTTCTCTGTCAACAAAGCCGAAATTAATAGCTTCGATATACTTGTAATGCATCCCTCGTATAATAGAATACTTGTTTTCTCAATAAATGCAAAACGTCCTGTATCGACGCCGATTGCTTTTCAAATACATGTATTTGCATCGGTGAGATCTAGTTACACAATATTTTCAAGTTTATTTAAACACCAAGAAATATATTTTACAAGCACATGTACATGTAGTCAATAGCCATGAACTTATATATTAGTATATAAATGTAGGTCCCTAGTGTAGCCGTACTGTACTGAAGGGAATAATCTCTTCAGTGCAGAATCATACCCTTCCCAGATTGATGTTTAAATATTTTTTGAATGAATGAATAAAAAGATAAATAAATTAATTAATTAAATAAATTTAAACAAATAAATAAATTAATTAATTAATCAATTAATGAAAAATATTAAATAAAAAACCAATTAATGACTTTTTTTTTAAATTAATTAATTTATTTATTTTATTTTTATTATTATTATTGTTTTTTTTTTTTTTTTTTTTGGGGGGGGGGGGGGGTTGAAGCGATGATTTGTAAACTTCTAAGAGTTATAACATAACCCAATAAGTCTCTTAACAAGTATAAAGAAAATGAAAAGTAAAAATAAATAAATAAGTTTTACTCTTTATAGTGTATTTTTTGTCATTTTGTCAGCAAGAAATGAATATTTCACATCAGTCAACATTATTGACCATTTCAATGATTTCTTTGCGTCAATAAAATATGCTTGAAGTTTTTGTCTAATATTAATCACGAAACCCGTATCAGTTGACTTCAATTATTTTATAATGTGTATAAAATAATGTTAAAAAAATTCTCAAGGAAATAATTCTGTGTACTGAATTGACAAACCCACATTTTAGATAACCGTACAGTGCCTCTGGAATTGTGTATACTACTACTGTTTTGCTTCGATGAACACTACAGGGGCATACTGGGGCATATACTGTGGCATACCGTAGGCTACTGTAGGAAGCAGTAGCCATACAGGGGCCTACTGTAGGCGTACTGGGGCCTACTGTAGATAACTGTGGCATGCTGGGGATACATACAGTGGCATACTGAGAATTACTGTATGTACAGAGTAGGCATACCGTACCATACTGTAAATGTACTGTAGATAATTGTTGAAATGCTGTAGGTTACAGAGAAAGACGGGATTTTCATACGGACAGGGGTTTTGAAAGCCAGTAGTGATAATAGTGGTTACGTTACGGTGATGA